GGCGAACAACGCCAAGGCCATGAGCGCCCGCGCTGAGGCCATCAAGGCCCTGGTCCAGCCCAAGGAGCCCGGGCCCAATCCCAAAGGGCAGCAGCTGCAAACTCAGCCAACTCCCTACATCGCTCACCCCACCTGGGAACATGCTCCTGCCACATTGCCAAGGGGCTCAGGCTCTGCCGGCCAAAGGCCAAGGCCAAGGCCAAGGCGGAAACCAAGCCCCAGGCGGCAGGTGTGGCTGTCGCTCAGGCTCTCAAAGGTGCCCAGGCCCCACGAAGGCTCCATGTCACTCTGTCTGCTGACGTGACGACGGAAGGACTGGTGGGGCCCCTGGGCTGCTGTCCGCGTGGCACTGGTGCCATCCTGTGCTGTTTGTACAAATAAATCTACGGTGGATCTGTCTTGTCAAAATAAATAAATAAATAAATAAAATAAAATAAATTTTTTTAAAAAAATCCATGTATAGCCCTAACTAGTTTCAGCTCGATTCAAAATGGGGTGTGCAGGAGGCAGCCGACCTATGATTCTCTCGTCATCATTTATGTTTCCATATCTCTCTCCCTTTCTCTCTGAAATCAATAAAGATACACTTTTGTAAAGAGTCCTTAAAATAAAATAAAATAAAATAAAATAAAATAAAATAAAATAAAATAAAATAAAATAAAATAATGAAAACTGATTTCAGGCCCTAGCCAGTTTTTCTCAGTGGATAAAGCATTGCCCTGCAGATTGAAGGGTCTCAGGTTCGATTCCGGCCAGGGGCACATGCCCGATCCCCAGTGTGGGGTGGCAGGAGGCAAATGATCAATGATTCTCTCTTATCACTGATCTTTCTATCTATCCCTTTCTCTTTGAAGTCAATTTAAAAAAAAACTGATTTCAGCTTATTTTAGATGAATTGAATTTAAAAATATTAAGTAAATATGTAATAATGTAGGTGGAGTGTGCATATGGGAGGGATTATGATGTGGTGTGAGAAAGACTGAAGTTTGGAAGCACCAACATGCTAACTCCTTCTCTTCGCCCAGGGTCAGTTTAACTGTCTCCTTCACCATCTTCAAACTTGGCTGGATGCCGAGTCATATGCTCTCCAAACTCTGTTTTCCACCTGTCCTTCCTCTCAAAGTTATTTTGGAGGCAAGTAACTGCATCCCAAGTCTAACTGTTCTGGGAAGCTCAGTGGGAATATCTAGGCTCTCAAAGCCAGCTTCAGGCACAGCTGGCTCTAGGTGTTTAAATGACGTCATCAGACATCTCTGTCCATCAGCTGGCTACCTTTCCCATGCGTTGGTCTCATCCTTAGGAAATCTCTCTACTCATGGTAGAAGGAGGGCCTCCGCAGCTCCACACTTAGACTCCTTAGCAAACCCAGCAGAAGGAAAAGGCTTTAATCCCCAGAATTCTGATAAAAGTTCTCAGAGTGCTCCTCCTTGGTGTGCTTTGGGTGGTGTGCCCGGCTCTCAAACAATCTCTGAAGGATGGGATGGAATGGCTCTGATTGGCCAGGCTTGGGTCACATGTCTAGAGCTCACCCAATCACTGTGGTTGGAGGGTGAAGTGCTCTGATTGGCCGGGCTTGAGTGCCTCACTTCTCTGGACCCATGAGGAGGTTGGTGTCGCAAAGGAAGCCACAGGGGCTGTTAGCTAAATAAAAGAGATGAATGCTGGGTGAGCAGAACCCACAGAGTCCTCACCCACATGACGGATGGTTACTAAACGTGTTGTAATTATTTGCTTATCACCCACCCTTCAGGGGTCCCCTGGCCTGAGTAGTCGTCCCGGCAGAGGCAAAATCATAAAAGATGCATGACTGCTCATGCCAATAGAGACATAGCCAAGTCCCTTGACATGGAACCTTGCCCCAGGGTGGAACTTGGACCTCTCTGGGGAAAAGCCTGAGCTTCTGAGTCAGATCTGCATCCAATTCTCAAAGCCCTCATTATCCACACTCGCTTATTAATTCACTAGGAAGATATTTTTATAGCACTAATGGCATGCCAGGTGCTTTCAGTTCTAGACACTGGGGACACCGCTGTGACCGACAAAATCCCTACCTTCCTGGATCTGAGCTGGCCCTGGGGGCGGGAGAGAGATCGTTAAGAACAGGATAAAAAAATAAGAAATAATTTCAGCCAAGACCGGTTTGGCTCAGTGGATAGAGCGTCAGCCTGCGGACTGAAAGGTCTCGGGTTCGATGCTGGTCAAGGGCATGTACCTTGGTTGCGGGCACATCCCCAGTGGGGGGTGTGGAGGAGGCAGCTGGTCGATGATTCTCCCTCATAGATATTTCTAGCTCTCTATCCCTCTCCCTTCCTCTCTGTAAAAAATCAATAAAAAATATTTTTTAAAAAAAAAGAAATAATTTCAGGTAGTAGTGAATACTGTAAAAATAAAATAAAATAAAATAAAACAGTGTGTCTTGCTAATTTGGAGGAAAGGGGCCACACGTTGACCTGTCAAGCTCAGGGGAGGCCTGAATGATGGTCCTGCGAACTCAGAGACCTAAAGAAACTGCAGAGGATAGTCTGAAATGAAACTTTAACTAAAAGCAGTGATGGTGGGCAGTTATATCCTAGGCCAGTATCTTCACTGACAAGGTCAATCTTTACCTTAAAAAAATGTATATATTTCTTTATTGATTTCAGAGAGGAAGGGAGAAGGAGAGAGAGAAACATCAGTGATGAGAGAGAATCATTGATTGGCTGCCTCTTGCATGCTTCCCACTGGGGATCTAGCTTGCAACCTGGGCATGTGCCCTTGACCGGAATCGAACCTGGGACCCTTCAGTCGGCAGGCTAACGCTCTATCCACTGAGCCAAGCCTTTCTGTCTTTTTGCATCTATGATATCACACCCTTAAAATGCCTGGGTAACTCATAACTTCCCTTTTTCCAGATCCCTTGAGACAACCTAATGTGCCTGGGCACCAGGACAGATTCCACAAATTCCTTCATTGTTATCATGTTCATTGCTCCTGCACCCACCTAAGTACGTGTCTATCATTTTACTTTTTATCCAATCCCAGAGGTTTTCCCCACTTTGCTTTCTCCCACCCCTCTAGTCTATCAGTAATGGATTTCATGTGACCCACCTACGTCCCCTCCTTTGCTTGCAATGAATAAATACAGATGTAACCCGCCATTCTCTGGAGAATAATCTTAATTCGTTGATGTTTTCCTCCCTGGAAATCGTCAACAGTTTGGTTCAAATAAACTCACAACAATTCTTTACAGGTTTGAATATTTTTTTGATAGATCCTCCCTTCCCCCAACTGATGGACGGAGAATGACGTAACCTGCACCTGCAGCTGGACATTCCTGACGCCTCACCAGGCGCCTTCCGTGGACTGTACATGAACCGCCCATCAGCACCTGCCAAGTACCCTAAGCCCCCATCCCCAAGTCCCTAATCATGTGCCTTACAGGAAACCGCCAATCAGCGCGCGCCGAGTGCCCTAAGCCCCCCACCTCTTCCCATTCCCCTCTCAAACGGCGCCTTCACCCCTGCAGGTGTGCTCGCTTCCTTTGGGAGGCAGCCAGCCCGGCAGGTCCTTCCCCTCTAAGAAAGCCTGTAGCCCTGGTTTTTCGGCCTCTCTCATGCTTTCATTTTTCCCGTTAACACTAGCAGGGAGCTGGGGGCCTGCCTTGCAGCCGGCCTTGGGGAGGCCTCCTCCAGGCGCTGCTGTTTGATTGGAGACCGGACCGTGTCAGCCGTGAGATGCTTTGGGGGCCCCGAGGCGGAGCCTCCAGGAACGGGCAGAAGCTGCCGCCAGTGGCTGCGTGATGGCCGGTGAGTTACTTGTTCTCTGTGCACCACTGGGCAAGAGAAAGATCGTGCCGACCCCTCAAGTGGCTCTGAGGCTTCCATCAGACACAGGCTGAGCTCGTGCTGTGCCCGGCCCGCGGTGGGTGCTGGGCTCTGGGTGCTGGGCTCCGCCACCACCAGCTGCTCAGGCAGTGAATGCTACTGTTCATTTATTCGAGGAGGGAAGCGCGGGCTTGGGGAATCAAAGGGTGAGAGAAAGGTGCTTTCGTGGCTTATCCTCCCAGAATCCAAAATGCAGGGTACAGTCTGGGCACGGCCCTGACACTGGGCTTCTGAGCGGCCCCAGGACATCCCGGAGACCAGCAGTGAGAACTGGTGGTGCTGCCAAAACCGGTCTGGCTCAGCGGATAGAGCGTCGGCCTGCGGACTGAAAGGTCCCAGGTTCGATTCTGGTCAAGGGCGTGTACCTTGGTTGCAGGCACATCCCCAGCGGGAATTGTGCAGGAGGCAGCTGGTTGATGTTTCTCTCTCATCAATGTTTCTAACTCTCTATCCCTCTCTCTTCTTCTCTGTAAAAAAATCGATAAAATAAAATGAAAAAGAACTATTGTCGCTGTCATAGCTGCCACCACTCGCTGAGCACCTGCCACCTGGCAGGCACTCTGCCGAGTCCCCGATGTCCCAGGGCCCCTCCGACCTTGGGACGGATGCCAGGAACAACACCCCGTTCCACAGAGAAGGGAAACTGAGTCCCAGAGCTGACAGCACAGAGCCTGGAGCGAAGCCAGGAAGCAGCGAGGTCCCCCTCCTGCTTCTCCCTCCCCCGGCACCCCGCACCCGGCACCCGATGACCTTTGGCCATTACTCACCTCTGACTTGGGGTGATCATTGGGCCCCACCCTCTGCCTTTATCAGTCTCCCAGCGTGGAGGGGGAGGCTGTGTAGAGAGGGAGGGGAGCAAAACCCCAGAGCCCCTCTTCCAGGAGTCCTGCTCCCCAGCCTGCTCCCCACCCCCCACTCCCACCGACCCCCTGCTGAGAAGAATTGAGAAGGGTGCGGGCCTGAAGGTGGCTTTTCGGCTGCAGCTGGAGGCTGGGACTTGGAGGGGTAGGGGAAGAGGGGGAGTGGAGGTGTGGCCCGGGCAGGGGCAGGGCCAGGGCAGAGTACTTGCCTGAGCTGTCCAGGAAGCCCCACTCCTGACGGGGCTATCTCCCCGCTGTGCCCCTGAACAGAACCGGCATGAGGCGCCCCCTGAGCGCCGGCCCCGGCCGTGGCCCTGCCTGGGACGGACTGCTGCTCACAGGTGCGTGCGTGGGGGACAGCGGCGCCCCTCGGCTCAGGGACCGGGGAGGGCGCCCCTCGGAGAGTTTCCATCCCAGTGAGAGACGCCCCACTCAGAGCTGCCACTCTGGGCAGTGCCCACCGGGCATGGGCATCTGTGCTATGGACCCCTCTTACAAAGGGGGAAACGGCAGGCGCGGCGCCCCCTGCATCAGATCACAGGGCTGGCAAGGACGGAACTGGAGCCCAGGACCCCGCCCCAGCCCCTTCCACCAGCGCACCCCGTCTCACCCAGCTCTGCCCCTCTAATCGTGATGTTTAAGTGGCGATAGTGTCTTAAAGTAACTGCAACCCTGGTACAAAGTAACAATCGTAAAGTAACTGCAATCCTGGTACAAAGAGGCCATTGTGACCGAGCTCAGGAGCTTTCACTGAGCACCGTTTCATTCCTGACCCCGTGGCGCAGGGCTGGATGGATCCCGTTCCACAGAGGGGAAACTGAGGCACAGGAGGTCATGTACCCTCCGTGGGCCACACAGCAGGGAAGTGCAGACGGGGGATTTGACCCCCGTGGAGAGCCACACTCATCCACCGCTCAGACAATAAGGGGTTTCCCTCCTTCCCCAGGTCTGGGCCAGTCCGGTTCTGGGTCATTAACCCAGACTTCCCGGGTTAATGCTCTGTTTGTGCCCAGCCGGGCCTGGGGGCAGCACAGGACAGGGCGGGCCTGTCTCACGGCCCTTTTCCCTGCCCGGAGCTGTGGTCTGTGCGTCCCCCCCCCCTCCCCCAGGCCACAGGCACAGGGGGAAGGAAGAGGAGAGGCTTCTGTTCTCTGGTCACAGTTGTGGGGGGGGGGGGGCTGTCTGTGTGGCTGGGGCACTGTTTGTGACTGGACCTTCCTGGGTGAGGGGCGCTTCCTGGTGAGGGGACCTTCCTGGTGAGGGGACCTTCCTGGGTGAGGAGACCTTCCTGGGTGAGGGGCGCTTCCTGGGTGAGGGGACCCTCCTGGGTGAGGAGACCCTCCTGGGTGAGGGGACCTTCCTGGGTGAGGGGCTTCCATGCAGTGGCCCCCGGAGGCTCGCTGCCACCTCCCGGCCCCTCCAGCCTCTTTCAGCCATGGTCGCAGGGTCACAGGCCAGCAGGCCGGCCGGGAGGGTCCTGAAGCACAGCCTGCAGCGGGCCCTCTGCGCAGCTCCGCCCTGGCCCGGGAAACGCGGGCACCTTTGCTGTTCGGTTGTCGCAGGAGGGGCCGTGTTCCCCGCCCACAGCCACGCCTCACCCGGAGACTACGTTCCCACTTCCCCCTGTCTCTCCGGTCCCTGGAGCACCCTCCCCTGAGCAGGCCCTGCAGGCACCGGAGGCATGGAGTGCTTATGAGCAGGCGCGGAGATAAGTCACATCGGCTGCCAGCTCGGAGGTAACACCAGGGAAGCAGGAAGAGGGAGTCGCCTGGATCCTGGGGCCTGCGGTGGGACTGCTCCCGGCTCTGCCCTCCTGACCTTGGGTCCGAGATGCAACTTTCCTGTGTCTCAGCTTCTCAGCCTGTGAAACAGACCAGAACAGTGGTTCCCAACGTGGGGCACATGCCCCCCAGGGGGGCAATTTGATGTTTAAGAGGGGGCATTCGAGAACGAGTGATTAGCAGTGAACTGTTTGCATTTCTTATGGCTCTAGGGGCCTCAGATACAATATACAAGTATATATTGTGACATATGTATGCATTTAAAATCTCTATTATGTTTTGGAACTTCATTTGCTATTTTTCATATCACTTTATATTATTATTATTTTTTTTAACAATTTCTCAGTGATGTCTTCCTCAGTCCTTCAACTGTCCTTTGGTTCCTTCATTTTTCTCTTTCATGGATGCCACGTTCTTTGGAAGCTTGTTTAGACCAAGTTCATGGCCTTTTAGGCTTCCTCCACGGGAACAGGAGCTCACCTTTTGAATAACCCTATATAATAAAAGGGTAATATGCAACTTGACCCTAACGGCAGAACGACCACGTGACCAATCATATGAGACCACCCCTCGGTCTCTTCTCCCTCCCCCCCCCCCCCCCCCCCGCCCGGCAAGGTCCTGCCCTGCCAGTTGCCCCACACACAGAGGGCGACCGGAGGCGGAGGTGGGGCTGGCAAGCAGGTGGGAACGGCCAACTTCTCGATCCCTCTCCCACTCCCCCACCCCTGGCGGGCAGGCTCTGACAGCCATGGAAGATGGCCCTGATACTGCAGGCCAGGCCTGGGGACCGAACCCGCACACGGATTCCATGCTCCGGGCTCTGGAAAGAATTATGTGTCATGGGGTGGAGGGGCATCAGGATTCTAGAGATGCTTAGGTGGGGCTTGGCCAAAACATGTTGGGAACCAACTTCAGTGGTTGAGGGGCCCAGGGAGGCGATGGTTGGAGAAGGTGGCACAGTCCCTGGCACTCAGCCAGCATCTGGCGTCAGACCGCCTGGGGCTGCCCCGCGGCCTCTCACCCCTTCCGGGGTGCCGTGCCGTGTCTACCTGATGCCGCAGAAGTCACCCCGAGCCTCTCCTTCTCACCACGTCCCAGGAGAGCGCTCATGTTTCAGCCTTTGATCTATAAGCGGGCATTTCTGATCCTTAACATGGAATCCTTATTTTATGACTTTATATCTTTAAAAGGCATATTTACAGTACTTGTAATTGTGGGGGCAATAATAATAATAATAATAAAGCCCTGACCAGTTTGGCTCAGTGGATAGAGTGTCAGTCTCCAGACTGAAAGGTTCCAGGTTCGATTCCAGTCAAGGGCATGTACCTTGGTTGCGGTCACATCCCTGGTAGGAGGTGTGCAGGAGGCAGCTGATTGCTGTTTCTCTCTCATCAATGTTTCTGACTCTCTCTCCCTCTCCCTTCCTCTCTTAAAAAAAAAAAAAAAAAATCAGCCAAAGCCGGTTTGGCTCAGTGGTAGAGCGTCGGTCTGCGGACTGAAAGGTCCCAGGTTCGATTCCGGTCAAGGGCATGTACCGTGGTTGTGGGCACATCCCCAGTAGGGGATGTGCAAGAGGCAGCTGATCGATGTTTCTCTCTCATCGACGTTTCTAGCTCTCTATCTCTCTCCCTTCCTCTCTGTAAAATATCAATAAAATATATATTTTTTTAAAATCAATAAAATATATTAAAAACTAATAATGATGAAATTCCAGTTCTAATGTCAAGCATCTATCTGGCAGTCACCTGGTTAGCACACCATTGTAAGCACTTGACCCGCGTTAGATTTGGGAAGCTTTAGTCTGCCCTCTGCATGGGGTTGCACCAGCGGTGTGAGCTTCCTGTGCCCTCGGTCTCACTGACAGCATCAGACTCTTGGATGTTGGCCAATCTGCTAGGTGCAAAGCATTCCCTGTTACCTCTGCTTGTTTTCATTTCCGTTTATCTTGCTATGAGTACAGCTGAACCTTGTCCCTATGTCAAGAGACGTTGAATTTTCTTTTCTCAGAATCACCTACCCATCTCTTCTGTATATTTCCCTGTTAGGTGGTTGGTATTTTTCTTATTGGTTTCTAGGACCACTTTACGTATTAGAGAAGTGAGCACTTTGTCTGTGATATCAGTTGCACATGCTTTTCCCTGGTAGGTCGTTGTTATATTGACTTTGTGGGTGGTGGGTTGTTTTTTTGTTTGTTTGTTTGTTTTTTAATATATTTTATTGATTTTTTACAGAGAGGAAGAGAGAGATATAGAGAGCTAGAAACGTCGATGAGAGAGAAACATCGACCAGCTGCCTCTTGCACACCCCCTACAGGGGATGTGCCCGCAACCATGGTACATGCCCTTGACCGGAATCGAACCTGGGACCCTTCAGTCCGCAGACCGACGCTCTATCCACTGAGCCAAACCGGTTTCAGCAGTGGTGGGTTTTTTTTTTTGTGTGTGTGTGTTTTTTTTTTTAACTTTCGTAGAAGTTTCTTTTTATTTTTGTCAAACTTTTTCGGCTTTCTTCTTGTTGTTAATCCTCATGTTGGGATATTTTTCTGTTGGTTTTTGGAGTGGAAGGGAGAGGGAGAGACATAGAGATACATGGATGTGAGAAAGACACATTGATTGGTTGCCTCCTGCATCCTGGTCAAGGTACGTGCCCTTGACCAGAATCGAATCTCGGACCCTTCAGTCCGTGGGCTAACGCTCTATCCACTGAGCCAAACCAGCCAGGGCAAACTCTTCCGTCTTTTATGGAAGGAGCTTGTGTTCTTACTGCAACCGTCACCATTCCAGGGAGAGGTCACAGAGTGGGGTGGGCAAGAGCAGAGGTCTGGAGACAGACTCCGAGGGCCGGCTTCAAGCACTGAGCAACGCGGAAATCTAATGAGAGGGAGTGAGAGAAACTGAGGGCGGGGACTCACTCCACAGTGTACTTCAGTGGCTGAGAATTTCGACTCCGTAGGTGCTGCTTACCGCCGGTCACATCCTAGGGAGAGGTCTTGAATCCTCTCATCTTTGCTTCTTCGCCTCAAATAGGGCTGGAATGGCTGGATCGGTCAAGGTGGGGACAGGAAGGAGATGGTGAACTCAGAGGGAGCAATGAGCAGGGTTTGGCAAAGGGACAGTTTGCAGAGGTGAAGGCAGGGTGTTGGTAAAGCGACATGGGGCCGTGCAGCACCCAAGGGCTCGTACCAGTGCAAGAGGGACAGACAGATGGCCGCCCAGTAGGAGCTCCAGCAGAGGGGCGCAGCCTCTGTTCTATAAGCAGGCATTTCTGATCCTTAATATGTAACCACCTATTTTGTGACTTTTTATCTTTAAAAGGCATATTTGCAGCACACCCAGTACTTGTAATTGTGGGGGCAAGAATAATAACAATGAGCCGAAACCGGTTTGGCTCAATGGATAGAGCGTCGGCTTGGGGACTGAAGGGTCCTGGGTTCGATTCCAGTCAAGGGCATGTTCCTTGGTTGCGGGCATATCCCCAGTAGTCGGTGTGCAAGAGGCAGCTGATTGATGACTCTCTCTCATCGATGTTTCTAACTCTCTATCTCTCTCCCTTCCTCTCTGTACAAAATCAATAAAATATATATATTTTTAAAAAAGAATAATAACAATGATGAAAATTACAGTTCTATTGTTAAGTGCCTATCTGGCAGTCACTGGTTAACACACCATTGTAAGCACTTGACATGCATTCTATTTGGGAGGGAGGGAGGAAGGAGCTGTGGGACCAGTAACTGCAAGGTCACTCCCACGGTCAGAAGCAAAGGGCACGGGGCCACCAACCAGGGAGCTCAGAGAGGCCACAGCAGAGCAGAGGTTAGAGTGCGGCCGACCGCCCAGTGTAACGTGTG